TTCGACGCTCTTTTCTGAATTTACCTTCACAGGGTACATTAACACCCCAAAAAATTGAAAGCAAAGGATATATAACAACTTGAATGCATTAGGATCTTTATGACCAAAATGAACCTAAAACATTGGCCAAATCTACCTTCGATCATGCAACTGCTGGAAACAGTAGGACAAGAACGTTCACCTAACACATACGAAAGAGTACTTAGCAAGGGTCAACAGTCTAGTAGAAATTGCAAAAAAGTTTTACCAAAGAAATTATGAAAGACAATGCATACTTTCTGCAAGGACTACATGTACGACATGGATATGCATTTTGCAGAACGTCGATCATCCCCTGTTAATAGTATACCAGTATAAGAAAAACATCATGTGAAGGAAGAGATGCCTATATTAGGAACCGGGAACAATTCATTGCAGACCTTATGTAAGGTGCTGAGATCTACCAGGATGAAGCTAAGACAAACCTCAGAAGATGAAAACAAAAGGACTGGCATATAAATCACCCGAGAGGTTATTGGATTACTACAACGGCATGAAACACATTATGGCTCAAGTCATTTAGCTTAAACCGGACCTACATAACATAACCTGCCAATCCAAACCGAAGAAAAAAGATACAATCTTTGAACGTTCATCGTCACCTTTTTTATGTGAACCCTTGAAAACCAAACATTGATGGCAGCTTTCGACTGCGTGTGAGATTTAGATAGGATCATTCGTGTTCGATTGTTTGAAGATCCATGATCTAGCTTGGCACTGCACATCACCATCTCTTGTTCGTGGCATAGCCTATAACGCAGAATCGAAGGCAACACGAATGAAATTGTTGCTAATATTTGAAGGGTATCAGAGGAGATTTCAATACCCCTCGCCCTAAAGTTTTGCACTGAAAAGTATCATAAACATGGTGAACAACCTCAGGACAAGGAGTTCAAAAATTAAGGAGATTTTTCCCTGTCATCACTAATGAGAAAGTAAACGTTTGAATCATTATACAAAATCATTATCAGAGATTTCGTTATCATTTATAAATATTTCTTGTCATCTTGTTCGAATATGTAGGTTAGCAGTTTTTATGGTCATATTTGTCATGTGTATTTGATTACCTTGTATCTGTATGGTCAGTTCCAGTCAAATTCATTCAAATTTTTCTGAAAAATAGTATGAAGATCTATTGCACAAAAAGTTTGTCGAAGTCTGTCAAAGTTTTTGATGCAAGTTTACACTATAAAAAAAACTTTGATCGTGTCAACTGACTTAAGAAAAACCTTGATGAGGGACAGTGTGTACTACATCTTCAAACCGAAGTTTCAGTTATAGGTAAAGGCTGGCATATACCACATGAAAACAGACAGTGTGGTCTTCGCCATGCAGACATCTGCCGTCAACAAGAAAGCCCTGTTTGAGGAGCGACATCAGCGGAGGAACAATCATCGATTGAGAACGCCTGGCTCAGATTTAAGATGTATGCCCATGTACAAGAATTACGGACATTTCAAGGCGAGATAACTCGTGTTACTTTTCTATTCTGGTTCCCATCTTGTTCTCATCGTCTGGTGACCAGTAGATAAGCATAGATAACTCCCCTAAACGAACACCCCGCCAATAGATGTCACTTTGACGTTATGCCTATAGGGTATATGATATTAGCAGTTATACGATAATTCCGGACGCAATGGATTTAAGAAAGAAACCCCGCGTACACTATACACAGATGAATGATGAAGAAATTGCCGATAGAAAAGAAATAATCAAAAAAAGAAAAATTTTGCATTTTGCATGATGTAGAAAGAATATTTCAGTCTGTTACAGCTATCAATGGTTTGTTTGACTTGCTTGCTTTGTTTGTATGAATGTTTGCTCAAGCATTGTAATTAAGATTGACAGCTGTAAACAATATAAGTAGGCGGAGTTAAACTTGTGTATAGGTAAATTTGATTATTTGATAATGTCCAATCAAATTTAAATATAATGTATACAAGTTTAAATCCGCCTTTTTATGTTGTTTTCATATGTCAATCTTAATTACAATGCTTGAGCAAACATTGACACAAACAAAGCAAGCAAGCCAAACAATTCTTTGTCTTGCTAGCATTATGAAAAGAGCTGTAACGATAGTTCAAAAGAGATACGTGTACATGTGATTATATTTCCTATATTTATAATATATGTATATCTGTAACAGTTGATCAATACTTTTTTAAAACTTTTTTTCTTAATCTAGTAAATTTTCTTATTGTATGATATTTGTAACCCTGTTCATACTACACACGACCTTTTCGGAAGCTTTAAGATAGTCCAAATAATTTATCATCGGTGTTTCTGATTTTAACAAGTTCAATAAAAGAAACCTTTAAAAGGTGTAATACCACCATTGATTTTCCCCTATTAGTCTTTGTTATATTTGCACTTTTCAAAAAATTGTGCAGAATTTATCTTTGTTTCAAATGAAGAAATACTTGGCATGAGTAAAGTTTTATCCTGTCCAGTACTATAGAAAAAAATTCACATAACATTTCATTGCATATAAGAAAATAACCATCACTGGAAGTTAACCAATCAAATTTTCCCACTTTTTTAACCTGTGTACAAGCTTTAGTAACCATGTAACCTCAAGTTTCCAAAATATTCTATAGAAACCCCAAATAAAAAAATAATGGTGCTTTGAAATACCCAAGATATATGTTTATGACCCAGAAATATTTTACTGCAATGAGATGTAGGACCAATTACCTACAACTGTCAAATTCAAGGGAATATTTTTTTTCGACCTATTTTCGTCTGCAACCGGATGTGACCTGCAACCGGATGTGACGTACTATGATTTGGTGGTATTACACCTAAAAGCCGCAGGCAAACTGATCTACCCCTGTATATTTCTTTTTAATTGAGTTAGATGAAAATCCAATATACAAATCCTTTCAACATCTCAAGCAGGCTTGAGTACTATCTAGATTATGTTTTATAAAAAAAAATAACATTTTACTATTCAACGTGATTCTGGAAAAGGATAGACAATTTATTAATATGACGAAGACATAATCTTTCAATCAGCTTAATTGAAGTGTGGAGCTGGCATGTCAGTTACTGCAAGGAATTGAATATTAAAAAAAAAAATGTTTTTCAGAAGTAACTTTGTTTAGGGTTGTATTTTTTGTTTATTTCATTTAAGGAATTGTATATCTAAATAGACAATTAAGAAGTTTCACTTTCAAATGCTTAGGGACAACAGTAAACATTATTTAAAATGACGATTCTTATACCATTTGATAGGAAAATTATTTGCCAATACTGTATAATTTGTTAATTTGATTTACAATAAAAAATGAATTTAATATGATTTTTTATAAAACATGTATACCTTGTAATTTGACATAACTTTATCTCAAACAGAAGAGAACCCGACGTTCAACATGATAGGGACAACAGTAAATATCAAGATAAAGTGGATTTTATGACACCATTTCAAAGCTAAAAAATTGGTGAGATCTTTATAATTTATTAATTTTATATGAGATTTATAAAATAGGCATAGTATTCGTTTATTTAGCTAGTGGTTATAATTCTCCATAGACAATAACGTTAAAATTTTTTCAATGATTACGGTTCTCTGTGTGGTAGCTGATAAAGCCATCCAGCTGAGCTGTCCGCAATTCTTGTGTATGTGCCAGGTATGTAAAAAAGAACGGTCCTAACAATGTAAGAGGTCCAATGGTGCGAAGGGAGACGTGACCAAGACATGAATCACGTTCGAAGACTACAAGAAATGTTTGGATACGGGGAAGGTGTCTTTCAAAGAGATAGATTAAATTATATCCTACAAAGGAGGACAGTCGCATGTGTCCATTTTGTAAATAGATTCGGTACAAGCGTACGACTGCATCAGATCGGTTAGAAGTTGACCATAGACGATGACATAGACATATACCATTACCGAATCGTTGTAACGAAAATATTGATAAGCACTGGGTTGCAAGGTTGGGTTCATAATCTACTGTAAGACTGCACGAACGAGATCGAAGATTACGATTGACTGTTAGCAGAGGGCCGATGGAGATGAAACGCATCGAAATGACATAACATTTATCGATAACGGAACTCTAAATGTTGCCAGACAAACTGGCTGTTGGATGTGCTTCAGCTATTACGACAGAGTTAGGACGTACAGGAACTAGATAAAACACGAGCAGATCAGGAATAGTATATATATATATACATATATAAGTCCTTGAACGCTGCTCTCTGGAACTCTAGACTTAGATAGATGGTAGATCTTCCGTTTTCGAGGACAACCTAGCTGCTGTGTTCTCTCGTGCACAAATTCACTAATAATATAGTTGTATGAATTGTCCGTATTTCATTATAGTTATGTATATATATATATACAGCTTTTATGGCTGACTATGCGGCCAGTATGGGTTTTGCTCATTTTTGAAGTCCGTACGGTGACCTATAGCTGTTAACTTCTATGTCATTTGATGTCTGGTGGAGAGTTGTCTCATTTGCAATTATACCATGTCTTCTTATTTTTATATACATGAGTTTCCAATGTGTTACCTTGTCGAAGGCATTAGAAAATTTAGAATGAAGACTGTTTGTCACTATTTGGGCTAGATCATCGATTATGGAAGCCATGTTTTGCGTCTGTCAAGATACTGTGTAGTTCTTATTGTCTCACGATGCTGCCAGAGGCCGATTTAGGGGTGGGTGAGGGGGGCAGGGGGCACGTGGAAAATAATTTTAAACATAAGCCTAATTAAGATTCTCACGCCCTGTAAGCGGCCTGTTTTTTCCGAAAAACCAATTGTTTTTCTATCGCGTACAGTTGTCTGCGTTTCCGATTGCCATTGCAATACAATATAGTTTGATATCGTGTACATAAGAATGTATCGATAGCCGTTAAGAGGGTGTGATTTTTGGAATAAAAAAGTTTCCGTTTCGGAAACTTGTTCGCACTTATTCCGTATTTTGTTTCAAGAACATCTTTTTAGAAAGGAAACTTCCGGTCCAAATAAAGCAGATGATTTTTTTGCGGTAATTATTGTATATAAAATTTCCTTCTTCGCTGCTGTCCTCATAGAAAAAGTGTAACACTTTTTGAAACTTTTTGTAAAGGTAATATACACTGACGCATGTTTTTTCTTCTTCTCTTAATTCTAAAATATTTGTTGTCAAGTTGAAATTTTGTAAAACTACTTTTTATTTAATTTTAATAATTATGCATTGTGACCTCAATTATTTGTACATAAACAGAGGGCATTTCAAGAGATCATTTGTGGATAATAGGTTACACACAAGGTAAAGAGTATCCAATGTTGCTTGGAATCTTTGATGATATTTTCGTACCTTCCAGGTTGAAACCTGAATAACAGTTCAATAATAGACAAGCATGATAGATGACTTTCACATTTAGTGCATTTCCCCCTATACATTATGACAATTGTTTAATTACGTCATTTAGGCCGATTGACCTGGGTTCGGTCATTCATTAAAAACTAGAAATTGCTTGAATTCGTAGTTAAAATACAATATTGCAAAAAATTACTCATTGAATGAGTTACAAAAGAAATGTTTTGTTATTTTCAAAAAAATCAGAAGACAGTATGTGTATTTTATATGACATGTTAGAGTTGCTGCCTACATTTGCACTGCTTTTGGAATGTGTCAAGCAAAATAATTATGAGAAGATCTTGTAAAAATAAATTGAATAATAGTTTAATCATTGCAGGGTAATAAAGAATGCTAGTGGAAGATAATGGAAACTAGTTTGACAGAACTTCATGATGGTGAAGAAAGTCTTGGATGTTTGAATGAACATGACAAACCAGAATTACCAATTGTTGGAATTTTACCAACATCTTCAACACCATATTCACTGCCCCAGAACTGTCTTGGAATAGTTTTAGTAGATACTTCCTCTCGGTAACTACATCCATGTATAAGTAATATGTATAAGTATTACATGTATTATAAATTTAGATATTAATTTGCTGTTTATTTTATTTGGAATATCGCAATGATTAAAACTGAGATTTATGTTTTTGCTAATTACTTTATACCTCTACACATTTATCAATCTTATACCGCTGAATTGACAACAACACAAGTAAACTGCAACTTTTATTGGTCGAAGTGTTTTGCCGATTAGATCAGTGTCTTCAGTTCCTGTCGACCAATAAAAGTTGCAGTTTACTTAAGTGTTGTCAATTTAGCTGTATTTAATTTTTTTATCTGACAACCCTGCATACCATCTGGTATCCACTTAAGGGAATTCTACCAGCACAAACTTTAGGAGGCATTGGTTCAGCAGTTCTTTATTTAATTATCTTTCTTTATTTATCAATCTTGCAATATGGTCAGCCGTTGAAGATTCTCAATAATAAATGCATGTATTAAATTTTGACTTTACAGTACATTTATTCTATCAGATACATAGAAGTACATCAGTAGAAAATGATTTCTCTTCAAAATATCTTATTTGCATTTAATTAGATCTGAAAAATATTTTCTCACTTTATACAATTAATTATGATATTTAACTATTTCTTGTGGATAAATATTATCATAATCAAGGGAGTATTGTGATACAATCAATATCTAAATATGAATAAGTTTATAAATGGTAAATACTGTGTAAATACTGTGTATAGGAGTGTGATTGTTCTCTTTTCAACCGAATTCTACCTGCCCATGTAATATATTCACAATGTGAACCTTTTTGGTGAATGAGGGCAGCAAACAAGCAAAAAAGCTTCACATGTGTAGAGCCGTTGATATTTTATGATATCTATATGTAGAAAACCAGATGATCTGTTTTAAAATCGTTCTAATACTGGTCTCCCCTCCCTGAGACAGTTATATGCATGACGAACGTAAGCTTGATAACGTCTCTTCACACATTGTGATGTCGCTGATAATGGCTGCTCACATCTCAAAGCTGTGATACGAGAATTATAGAGGGACTGAGCAGGGTGATATAGGGCGAAGGGATGAACGATAAAGACACATATTGTAAAGTATAAATGCTCGAGACTGAACAAACATTTTTTACTCATTCTCTGCTCTTACTTGTCAAATAAGTTTCATTTAATGACTTTATGGCTGATATTTTGTAATATTAACATGCCAAAAATTTGATAAACTAAACATATTATTTAACAGTCGTTTAGGGGCTTCGTCTCTTCCTTTCCATGTTGAGCGAGTGGTTGAAAAAATATGATGCTATCTTGCACGATTTATTCGGCAAATTAAATTCTTATAATTGATATTCAGCACTGTTGTCTTTAGGGAATTGTGATTAAATACCTATGGAACAAATATTATTTCTAGTTTATCCCGCATAATGTTGTCATGAAGACTCCTGATGAACTTTAATTGTGCAGGGATACAGGCAATCCTCATTATCTGGTAAATGACGTCATAAAGGCGCGCATAATTTTCCAGTGAAGGACATAACTCAAAAGTGGTCTATTGATTCCTTTGACATATAAACTTGAATAAATTGTTATTTTACAGGAATGTACAGTTAGCTGCTGATCTTAACGGTGTTTCTTGCAACTACAGTGATGCTACAGAACTTCCAGGGAGACAACTGGTACAGTCAACTATAGCGATTCCAGGTAAATGGAAATGATTGGTTGTTTGCTTTGGAAACTTTATTCTGAAACACAAATGCATTCCTTTGACAGTCTCACAACAACAAATTTTAACTTTTTTATGTCTTTTAACAGCTATCCACTATTGTTTGTGTAATCTTTTAATACTAGGTCATCTGAATTTTGCACAATTGTGTATTTTTAAAAGGAAAACTACAGGGACATTCTACTGTTTAGTTAAGTTTGTGAACATTTAGAAAAACAAATTCTTTCATTAAGTGTTATCTACTAACAGTCACACAACTAGAATAATAGTTCTTTATTTTCAAAGTTGCCACCTTCATTCGCAGGTTCTAAGGTTGGATAAGTAGTTTAACTGGCTAAAGTGCAGCCTGTAAAAAGATATTTGAAACTGTCATATTCCTAATTGAAATTGGCAAATCTTTAAATACAGTACTGTTATTTCTTTTCTACTGCAATAATTGTAAAATGCTCAAAAATAAATCATTTGCAATATGCCAGAAACTTCAACAGCAATGGCACAACATTGTTGCCATGGACTCCTACCACCAACTTTGGAATTGTTGACAGACCTCATCCAATAAAATTGGTGTGACATGTTATGTTGCCTTAGAATTATAAAACAGATGAAAAAGATGAGTGTTATCTTTTGATATACAGACTATCATATTACAAATGTTAGTGAAATATTTTGACATTCTTCACTTATATGTAATCTTTCGCTGTGCTTTATATGCATGACAATTATTGGGCATTCTGGATATTCTTGCTTTATTCATGATTTTTAAATCTAAGTCTAATTGTAATACAATCAAACTTTACTTTGTCTACAGTACATTTATGATAAGCTTCAACATTCCAGGTATTTTTCAACAAGTTACCCCATCAGAGATAGATGAGGAACATGTTAATAATGTTTATAGTACAAACCATGTAGGTAATGTCTGTGAGGACAGTTTAGATGGAGGAAATCTTATTCAACAGAATCAATTGACGAACACAACAAATCTTCAGAATGGAATGAAGAAGCAGGAGGGACCATTAGTAAGATATTTTTATATTCCAATAATTGCATATGGATAGGTGTGGCCACGCACTTGTTTGAACAATGACAGCTGTCAAAATATACACATTGTAATCAGCAAATGACTATTCAATAGTAAATTTTTACAGAAGAAGTTTTTAGTAAAAAAAACTTTGTATGGCGTGACGATTAATGTATCACCACATTAAATTTTGTAAAAGACATCCATCCATTTAGCATTGATTGTACACATCATTAGTTAACAGTGAAATGAAAAAAAAATATGCATTACATTACTTGTGGAGTTGTGGGATATTAAAAGTTGATGGCATCATCCTGAAAATGCAGAATTGAAAACAATCTTCATAACTGCCAAAGCCTTGGCAAAAATGGAAAGAAAGAAAAAAAACACTGCAAAATTCTGGTCTTATAAGACTTGCTTAGCTTAGTGTTATTAGAACACCCAGTGCTAACTATTGTCGTTTTCATCTTTTTCCCTTTCTCTTTGGTGGATAGTTGTCTCATTTAGCAATCATACCACGTCTCATTTTTGTCGAGCCTGCAACATTTATGTAGAATTAGTGATCCAAGATTCGGTTGTTGGCAGCAATTCTGTATTTTACTGATAAATAGACTCACTTTTTAAGTGAACATTACACTTTTACACTGACAGCAGCAATCGTAGGCCAGACAGAGGGTTCCGCGGAACCCCTTACAATTTTTTTTTATGAAGTAATTAATTGTTTTTTGATAAGAAAAGTTGTGAAGGTTCTTTTTCCTTTTTTTTTACTATTTACTGAGAAATTTATCTCAAATTAATTGAACCCTTTTGGGCTCAGATATTTTGTTTGGAATTGAATTGGTTACTGTTAAGAAAAAATCTCTGGTTGGGGAAAAAGGATTAGACAGTTGGGATGGTAACTTTATTGTAAGGGGGATGAGCTAAATAAGAGAACATTCAGAGAGTTTACATGGAAATAGCATCATATCAGATGGACAATGTTATATGGTTGTTTTGTTTTTTTTAAGTTGTTGTTGGATGATCTTCATATAAGTGCAAAAGAACTCATAGCTTATAGCAAGTCTGGGGACACAATTATCGTCCTTTGATTTTTTTTGTCTTCAAACATAGTTCCTAGTGTGGACAGTATATAACTTGCAATTTTTTTTATTCACCTTTCAAATATATTTTTTTCATATTTATTCATAAATTAGTAAGAAGGGGGATGAAATTACATGTAAAAAAAACTTCGTAAAGTAGTGATTTGGTCCAGTTGAAAAAGGTAAAAAATTGGTATGTCTGAAGCTGTCAAACTAAATTACAGAACCCTTAACATAAAATTGTCCATATATTTTGAGTGTTAGAGCTGATAGACTTTCATTAGTGTTGATATTATTTGTTCAAAAGGTAGTACACTACACTGTAAAAATCTTATTTATGGTAAGAAACACTGGTGGGATATTTTGAATTTCGTGTATTGTTCTTAGGAGATGCATTGCAAAATAACTGTGTTCTCAGGACAGGAAGATTAACAGTGACCCTACAAATAACCCAAGAGGTACTCTGTACTTCTAAATCAAAACAGTTCAGTAATAAAAAAGAAGATATTTAGTGAAAAGGTATGCAGATATTCCGAAAATCTATGAATTCTCTTGAAGGTGCATATGTCAGCTGTATGTAAAAGATTTTGTGATTTTCCTGCAAATGATACTTAGTAAGAAATTAGTTTTTGTTGTGTACTTAAAGGACAGTTTGTTTTAAATTTTATTACACGTTTTTTCAGAAAAAGAAAGGTGGATGGCCAAAAGGAAAAAGAAGGAAAGAAGTTCCTGAACTTATTACTCCAAAGGCACCTCCTACAGGGTAATATATAGTTGTGATTTAGGGGTATATGCCTATGAAATAAATAGTGTCCAAAGTTATGAGCTATAAAGAAAAAAGAGAATCTTTGGTATTCAGAAAACTGAATTTAAACCAACATATTGTACATATGTACCAAGTTCGCTAACTTTCCAGTATGTTGTCTCTCATTATGTATTTTTCATAACCTTCTCCAGTATATACCAGTTAGAATAACCCTGTCTGCCTATCCATCCCTCCATCTGTCTGTCTGTCCATGTGCCTTGTCAGCACAAACCTAAATAGCTTCCTGAAGATGTGCATAAAGGAATATAATCAGTCTTCCATGTTAAAGGGGAGATAATTGAAATTACATACTTCAGTATAATAAAAGTGTTAGAAGGTTGGATGTATCTTTTTTTGTGAAAAAAATCTAACAACTTGTTTTGGAGTTATTGCCCCTGAAATTTGATTTTTTTTTAAATTTTAGCAGTTGTCGTTTGTTATTGTGAAAACTATAGTTTCTAGTTTAAAAGTGTAAATTGCATAAAGGTTTAGCATGACAAGATGTATTTACCCTGAAAATTTGGAAAAATCAGTCAACCTGTTTTGGAGTTATTGCCCCTGAAACAATAAATTTTGTTTGCAGTTTTAGCTTAAAACAGGGAGGAGCTAGGTTAAAATTGTAAGATGCAAAAATGACCAGTATGACAAGATATAGTATTACTATATCTTGTCATGCTGATTATGTTAAACCTGAAAAATTTCAGAAAAATTTGTCAATCTGTTTTTGAGTAATTGCCCCTGAATTATACATTTTCACATTTTTTGCTGTTATTTGGAAAACTATAGGAACTAGGTTAAAACTTTGAACTGAAAAAATTATCAGCATGACAATACTCTGATATTTTTGACAACCTGTTTTGGAGTAAATGCCTTTGAAATGTTGATGTTTACAGTGTTTTACAGTTTGGCTGTTATCTCAAAAACTATAGGAGCTAGGTTAAACATGTAAACTGCAAAAGTGATCAGCAACACAAAGAGTAGAAATGTGCATATAAAAGTCCTAATTAGCCAACTTGCGATTTTTGGTCCATGTGAGCGATACAGGCACAGGTATGCCTCTTGTTTTGTATACTATATATACTATTCTGTGATAAAAAAACTTTAAAACTTTGTAGTTATGTGCTGTTTGCAATGCAGAGAAGACTTGAAATAAAAGAAGAACATCCAGAAGTAGCATTTTCACAAGTAACCAAATTGTTAGGTCATGAATGGACAGCCTTAGACTCTGACAAGAAACAGGTATGATAACTAACATGTTCATGGTGTTACCAAATCCTATTTCATCTTTTCTAGTTTTCTCATCTCTTTGATTTTTGTTTTATTTCTGTCAGTTTTTCATAAGTCTGGCTTTTTGGACTAAAAATGTTTAGTCCTTCATGGAAATGTGTATGCTTCAAATAATAGCATGTGTAGATAAATCCTGTTTTAAACTTTATGAATAGTAAAAGAGGTTAACTAAAAATGTGGTTACATTATGTACTAAATTTAAAGTGAATGCACTAGTTTCATAATGTAATGTAATATTTTCAGTCATTATATTTATAATTAAAATGGAAAAATATGAAAATCAGAAATACATTGAATTAATAACATGATGTGTAAGTCAAAAGAATGGCATATATTTTATTTTCGACTTTTCAAGATCTTCATTAAATTTGAAATATATCCTAAGTATTTTTAAGCAGCCATTTGTTTACCTTTTAGCCCAACTGATTCATCATCATCTGGAGATAATAAGATAACAAAGTCAAATGCGTCAACTGATTTTCACATGTGCAAAATGTGAGCAGCTGCTCATATCAGCAATCTGATAAAATACAAATGTGTGAAAAAAAAGCTCATGTCAGAGCATTTGCAAGTGAGATTTTTAACATGCAAATAAGGTTAGTTTCATGTGTGCAATTGTGTTTGCATACAAAATGCTCACCTAATCTGCATGTTGAAAACCTCATGTGCAGTCATGATAGTTTCTATCGTTAATTAAAATGTGAGAATCTTATGTGCAACTTGTTAGCACAATTTGGTAAGGGTAATGCTGACTGCATACTATGGATTCAATTATTAGTGCTATACTAATTTGGTGGATTTCCATTCTTTAACTTTAGTTTGCCTCAACCAAATGTTATGAAACTTATACACAATGCTTATTACCACAAAAGACCGCTCAAGTTTGAATTTTGGTGGCGTCACTTTTACCATTCTAGAGTTATGCTCCTTTACAAATGGAAAAATTGCTGAATTTTTCGTTTCCGTTCTCTAACTTAAGTTTGCCTCAACTAAATGTTATGAAACTTATAATAAACAATGCTTATTACCATAAAACTTGGATCAAGTACAAATTTGGGTAGCGTCACTTTTACAGTTCTTGAGTTATGTCCCTTTATAACGTTATATGCAAGTGGGGGCATCATCTGTGTCCCATGGACACATTCCCCATTTATTTTTAAAGTTTTACCACGAATTCAAAATTTTTAACAAAATGCAAATTTTGATAAGCTTGCTTGTATGCAAAATGTTTTATAACTTGGAAATCAACTTTCCATGAAAAAGTTTTCATAATTGGTACCTACTAAAAAAGTAAATCCACAGTGTTACAGAAAATTAAAAATGGGCATAAATGTAGATGTGTGTAGATATCCTTGGGTAGATGCTTATCTCCTCGGTGATTATATCACATCTCCTGATAAATATAAAAACGGTAAAAAATTTATACGGGGAATCCAAGGGAAGAGAAATATATGTCCTATATGAGCAGGTAGCCTTATTTCAGATGTTCATTTAACAACCTTTATACATGAAATGGATAAATTTACAGTGCTCTCCATAGGAGGAGGTTTGATGCACACGTGTATTAATAGCTTGAAGTGGATCAATTCAATAACACTTTTGAATAATTTTGCAGAAATATCTAGATGAAGCAGATGAACTAAAGAAAAAATATATTGAGGAAATGAAAATTTTCAAAGAATCTGACGCTTATAAAAATGTGATGAAAAAGAAACGGAAAGCAAGTGGTAATGTATGACAGTGAAATAGATTCTTAGACTGATATAAAACAACAGACTTATTTCAAACCAAAACCATATCTTAAGTACCTTTTATAGGTCTTTGTAGCTAGGTTTTTCTCTTTGAAATTTATCATTAAGAAATGATTTGTCAGGAATAAAAGTAAAAAAAAAGAAAATTCAAAGTAAAATTACATGTTATTGAAGGTACCTTACCTTAGAGTATCTGACGTTTTGTTTAATAGATATTAAGACTTATACATATCACTTTGATGATGGGTAGTTGCCATAGACTGATAGACATTTCTCACATATTCATCTCTTGGATAAGCCAGAGTACATGTTTTTTTTAGCAACTTTTGGACATTTTTTAATCTGATCAATTTGACCAATGCATTTCTAATGTAATATGTTGTTTCTGATGACAACATTGAAGTCCTGTTTGATTTTGACAAATTTTATTTTTGATATTCAGGGGCTATGGCCCTAAATTGCTTTCAAGGACACAAATAAATGTTATAAAAACCTAATTTGCTGTCATTTTTGACAGCCTTTTGTTAATAAATAAGTTGTGCCTGTACAAAATTTTGATTATGTTTCTTTAGTAACTAGAAACTTTCAAAAAGGTTTTTCTATCACATATTTTTTGTAGAGAATGGATTAAATGAAGGAGAACTGGAAGGTTGTACTAAAAGTTGTATTGAGGTGAGGTTTAAACAGTTTAAAACAAGTGAATTTAATTTTGCATTTTGAAACACATGTTTTGCCTCACACAGCAAACTTTTTTAGTAGAAAAAATACAGTCAATGGAATAAATTTTGTGCTGTTTGCAGATCTTCAGGAATGTATATATTTACTGACGTGAATGAATTTAAGGCTTGTTCAAACAAATGTGTTAAATTTTGTGCTGTTGGAAGATCTTAAGAATTCTATATTTACTTGCATGTATGAATGAGGGTCTGGATGGGGTTTACAGAACACAGAATAATGGGTAAAAAGTGCAGAATAAAGGCCAAAAATTATAAAGAATAGAGAATAGAGAAAAATCTACAAATATAACAAATGAATAGAGAATAATAGAGTGCTATAATATAAAAAAATAGTGAATAATGGGCAAAAAATATAAACAAAAGAGAATAATGTCAATACTTAATAGAATGGGGGTGCCGCTGGGGTTCTGTTACCTCACCCTTTTCATATAATTTTACTCTTAAAAATGTATACCTTTTCATATATTGTGTAGGTAAAAATGTAACCTTTTCCCATATTGGTTGGGTTTCGTGTAGTGCGTTGGAAAAGTGGAATATTTAGGGCTAAGATTCTGTATGTAATATTTACCTATGGGGAGATTTTCGGCGGTGAAAAAAATGACAGGGCTTTTCATACACAAGTAATTGGAACTTTATTGACCTTATCATAATTATGTTTCTGATAGTTTTCCCCACCTATTTACATATTTTCAAGCAGGAAAAAGTGACCTATTCCAGCTGCACATCCTATCACCTTGTATATAGGAAGTGGCCCCCGAGGTATGGAAAAAACTAAGAAGTCAAAATTACTTTAACATACAATCTTTTACAATGGCGAAGTCCATATCCAAGAGTTGACATGTTTATGTCATGAAAATATTAAATATTGGGCACATAATGTTCTTACCATATTCTGTATTATATATTTTAACCCCCCCCCCCCCCCCACACACACACACACACATCCGTCCTGTATCAGGTTAAAGTTTGTTAAAGGTAGTTTATGATTAAATCAAGGTCACATCAGCTTTCAATTTAGTGAAAATTTTCATTATGTTATGAACTTTTTTAAACATGTGCCAAATTAGATTTTCCTGTGGAAAAATGTTCTTGTTGTTAATGTTGTTATGTAGCTGTGTCTTTATTGTATACCCTCATATCTTCAACATATTTTTTTATTATTTTGCAGGAAGAAATGAACTGTTTATTCTGTGAGATATGTGATATGTATTTTACAAGTGCTCATAATAAGAAAGAACACATGTTTGGCCGACAACACCTTCAAAATATATCAGGAGAGATTAAAAGACAGTCAACAGAAAAAAATAAACAAAAACATGCTGAACATTTTAATACAACTGAAGATTCTGATAGTGAACAGACTATGTCAAATGGACCTGTGGATATTCAGGAATTTATAAATTCTTTTATGGCTCAAAATCATGGTAATCTGTCTTTAATTTCAGTTGGATTCATTAGTTTTCATGGGATATCAATTTTCGTTCATTAAAGGTTAAAGGTAAACCACAAATTAAAATGTTCAAGGAAATAAAATTTTTTTACTAAATGCTTCTATGCATACTTTTTCAAAATAACGAGAGAGAAAAATCCACGAAACTACAATTTTTACTCAATCAACAAAAATTGGTATCCATGAAAATAAATGAATCCATAGTATATTGATATATAATTTTATAATTTCTGTGGATTGAGAAATTAGTTTTATGTTTTTATAAATGTGAAAGGGAGAAGGTATGATTTGGTGCAAAATGTATCTAAAACCAAATATAATGCACACTATCTCTAATTTTCAAAATAAAATGTTAAAACTTTGCACATTATTGTCAGAAATATTGCAGTATTTTTAGTGAATTGCACGACCAAAATAAGCCCCAAAATGATACTTCGATCATGAGAAATTAATGTAATGTTTTAATTAATGCGAAATTAGAATCAGGATGACCTTGCAATAATAACATTGAATAGTTTATTTTTTATTAACCGGATTTCGAAAGAAAAATCGGTTATTGACTTGGGGATGTTGGGCGGGCGGCTGCCAAACAGAGTCCGTTCATTAACATGAAAACGCTTTGACGAAATCTTTTCAAATTTAGATATGTTGTTTCCTGTGACTAAATGAAGGTCAAGTTCAATTTTCACGATTTTAGCTTTTCTCGTTGTTGAGTTATAGCCCTTTTCCAGTAGCCAAAAGTGGTACTTATTATGTGATTGAGTTATTTCCCTTTGAACAGAAATGGTTAATTATATATATAAAGTTTGATTACACTTACAGATAAGTTGTACAGATTTTTAAAGGACATTGTATTAATGATAAATGACATTTTTGATTTTTTAACCGGATTTCCGATGGAAATATCCGTTATTAAAATGGTGATGTACGGCGGGCGGCTGGGCAGATCTACGGGTGGCTGCCAAACAGTGTCAGCACAATAACATGAAAACGCTTTAACAAATTTTTTTCAAATTTAAATATGTTGTTTCCTTGGACTTAATGAAGGTCTAGTTCAATTTTCAAGATTTTAGTATATCTCCTTTGTGAGTTATCGCCATTTTTGATATCCAAAAGTAGAATTTTTAGATATTTTACTCTTGTTATCATGTTATGATTTGTCTTATATCAGAATAAAAATTGGAGTGACAGATTTATTTGAAAATTATCTATTTCCTAAGTGGTAATGATTATAAGCGTTATCATTAGACATTTTGAAGATTATTACATTATTAATTATCACTAGCCAGTCAACACTGAGGTTGTGAGTTCGAACCCCTCTCGTGCGGGTGCAAACGACTCCAATCTTAATTGACTAGGATTGTCAGTTTTCATATCGAAGGTCGGTGGTTTTCTCCGGGCACTCTGGCTTCCTCCACCAATAAAAACTGGCCGCCACGAAATAGCCCAAAAGCGGTGCTTAAAAGTGGCGTTAAAACACCAAAAATCAAATCAATCATTATTAATTATGTTAGAGTACTATGTTAAACAACCATAGTTCTGTTCAATTAGATATTAGAAATATTTTAGCATATGATAATGATTTATTTTCATTATTAATTAGATCTTGGAAATATTTTAGCATATGATAATCATTGGAGTGACAGATTTATTTGAAAATTTTCTGTTTTCTGATAAGATCTGTAGGACTGTATATATAAAGTTTGAAACTTACTAGTAGGACTGTATAAATGAAGTTTGGAATTTACTGTTCATTAGTAGACATTTGGTAGATAATTAAGTGTCCATTAATCATTTATATTCTTACCCCTACCCCCCTTCAATTTGATAATGTGCTTTTATCTTGTAAATGGTCGAGATCCCTACTCCTAAACCATATATATTCTTGTATGGGACAATAAAACAAATCAAATGAAATATTGGGATAGTCCTCGGGTTCACACCTACCCTCTTTTTTTTTGAAAACTTGTAAATGTGCAAGCTCCCCACCCTGAAACCATATATATTCTTGTATGTTACAAATCAAATGAAATAAAAGGTGAGTCCCCTGGGGTCACCCCCAGCGTGTCTGTTTGAGAACTTGTAAACAGTCGAGATCCCCACCCCTAAACCATATATATTTTTGTATGGGACAATAAAAGAAATCAAATGAAATATAGGGGAAGGCCATTGTGGTAACCCCCCACCCCTTCTGTTTGAGAAATTGTAAATGGTTGAGATGCCCACCCCTAAACCATATATAATCTTTTTTGGGACAATAAAACAAATAAAATGAAATTTAGGGGATGTCCCCTTGGGTAACCCCCACCCCCTTTTTCTGGAAAACTTGTGAACAGTCAAGATCCCCACCCTGAAACCATTTTTCTTCTTGTATATTACAATAAAACAAATCAATGAAATAAAAGTTGAGTCCCCTGGGTTTACCCCCACCTTTTTCCTGTTTAAGAACTTGTAAAAGGTTGAGATCCCCCACCCCTAAACCATATATATTCATGTAAGGGACAATAAAACAAATCAAATGTAATATAGGGGAAGTCCATTGGGGTAACCCCCACCCCCTTCTTTTTGATAGCTTGTAAACGGTCAAGATTCCCACCCAGAAACCATATATATTCTTGTATGGGACAATATATCAAATCAAATGAAATATAGATGAAGTCCACGGGGGTAAATCCCAACCCCTTCTTTTTGAAAACTTGTAAACGGTTGAGATCCTCACCCCTAAACCATATATATTTTTGTATGGGACAATAAAAGAAATCAAATGAAATATAGGGGAAGGCCATTGTGGTAACCCCCCACCCCCTTCTGTTTGAGAAATTGTAAATGGTTGAGATCCCCACCCCTAAACCATATTTAGTCTTGTATTTGACAATAAAACAAATCAAATAAATTTTAGGGGAAGTCCACGAGGGTAAACCCCACCCCCTTCTTTTTGAAAACTTGTAAACGGTTGAGATCCCCACCCCTAAACCATATATAATCTTTTTTGGGACAATAAAACAAATAAAATGAAATTTAGGGGATGTCCCCTGGGGTAACCCCCACCCCCTTTTTCTGGAAAACTTGTGAACAGTCAAGATCCCCACCCTGAAACCATTTTTCTTCTTGTATATTACAATAAAACAAATCAATGAAATAAAAGTTGAGTCCCCTGGTGTCACCCCCACCTTTTTCCTGTTTAAGAACTTGTAAAAGGTTGAGATCCCCCACCCCTAAACCATATATATTCATGTAAGGGACAATAAAACAAATCAAATGTAATATAGGGGAAGTCCATTGGGGTAACCCCCACCCCCTTCTTTTTGATAGCTTGTAAACGGTCAAGATTCCCACCCAGAAACCATATATATTCTTGTATGGGACAATATATCAAATCAAATGAAATATAGATGAAGTCCACGGGGGTAAATCCCAACCCCTTCTTTTTGAAAACTTGTAAACGGTTGAGATTCTCACCCCTAAACCATATATATTTTTGTATGGGACAATAAAAGAAATCAAATGAAATATAGGGGAAGGCCATTGTGGTAACCCCCACCCCCTTCTGTTTGAGAAATTGTAAATGGTTGAGATGCCCACCCCTAAACCATATATAATCTTTTTTGGGACAATAAAACAAATAAAATGAAATTTAGGGGATGTCCCCTGGGGTAACCCCCACCCCCTTTTTTTTGAAAACTTGTAAACAGTCAAGATCCCCACCCTGAAACCATTTTTCTTCTTGTATATTACAATAAAACAAATCAAATGAAATAAAAGTTGAGTCCCCTGGGATAACCCCCACCTTTTTCTTGTTTAAGAACTTATAAAAGGTTGAGATCCCCCACCCCTAAACCATATATATTCATGTATGGGACAATTAAACAAATCAAATGTAATATATGGGAAGTCCATTGGGGTAACCCCCACCCCCTTCTTTTTGATAGCTTGTAAACGGTCAAGATTCCCACCAAGAAACCATATATATTCTTGTATGGGACAATATATCAAATCAAATGAAATATAGATGAAGTCCACGGGGGTAAATCCCAACCCCTTCTTTTTGAAAACTTGTAAACGGTTGAGATCCTCACCCCTAAACCATATATATTCTTGTATGGGACAATAAAACAAATCAAATGAAATTTAACGGAAGTCCACGGTGGTAAACCCCAACCCCTTCTTTTTGAAAAATTGTAAACGGTTGAGATCCCCACCCCTAAACCATATACATCCTTGTATGGGACAATAAAACAAATCAATTGAAATTTAGGGGAAGTCCCCTTGGGTAACCCCCACCCCTTTTTTTTTTGAAAACTTGTAAACAGTCAAGATCCCCACCCTGAAACCATATATATTCTTGTATGTTACAATAAAACAAATCAAATGAAATAAAAGTCAAGTCCCCTGGGGTCATCCCCACCTTCTTTCTGTTTAAGAACTTGTAAACGGTCGAGATCCCCACCCCTAAACCATATATATTCTTGTATGGGACAATAAAACTAATCAAATGAAATATAGAGGAAGTCCATTGGAGTAACCCCTACCCCCCCTTTTTTTTTATAACTTGTAAACGGTCAAGATTCCCACCCAGAAACCATATATATTCTTGTATGGGACAATATATCAAATCAAATGAAATATAGGGGAAGTCCACGGGGATAAACCCTACCCCCTTCTTTTTGAAAACTTGTAAACGGTTGAGATCCCCACCCCTAAACCATTTATTCTTGTATGGGACAATAAAATAAAGCAAATTAAATTTAGGGGAAGTCCCCTGGGGTAACCCCTACTCTCCTTTTTTAGCTCACCTGGCCTGAAGGGCCAAGTGAGCTTTTCTCATCACTTGGCGTCCGTCGTCCGTCGTCGCCTGTCGTCGTCCCGCGTCGTCCGTTGTCGGCGTTAACTTTTTACATTTTGAACTTCTTCTAGAGAACCACTGAATGGAATGAAACCAAACATGGCATGAATGTTCCTTATGAAGTGCTGACC